AGTCAGCCTGGTGTGCAATAGCATTCAGCATCAGGGAGGATTTAGAACAATTTCAGACTGCTTTTTCAAGAAATAGGAGTTCTGCATTGCTGAGGATGCAGCTTGCCTCTCTTGTGGCTGATCCATTCTGGGGTGACTCAGTCTCTGCTGTAGTTATAATCCTTAAGTAACTTAATATTTTCACAAAAATTGTAACTGTACACTGCACTTCCAAGGTATGTGAGAGGAACATCCTTAGAGAACCAGCACACTCCACAAGAACAGAAGAAACACTGTTTGTGGAGAAGGGTGTCTCTGCTTCTTAGCTCTAGCAAATCAAAACAGTCCATGGCTTCATTATGGGAAATCATAATAATTACAGGTTGTCCACAAAGGTAATTATGAATTTGTTTTGGTCTTTACCTAGCTGTTCTAGCCAGTTCTGGTGCAGCTATTCAAACTGAATGTTCCCATAAGCTGGGAAATGTCATCTAAATTAATTTCCATCTCTTGCACTTCCCCAGTTCATGGAATGCAAAAGCATTACCTGACATAAACAAACATCGGCCTTCAGCTTTTAGTATTCAGTTTAAGTAGTGCAAAACGGGGGGTTTTAAGATGTATTCTTGTTTATGATATGTAGGTTAATGTATTTGCTGGCAAACATAAAAGAAAGAAACATTACATGATTCCTGCCTTCCTCATAATAATTTTTTATTAACAGCCAGCATATTGTTCCTTTAAAATATAGGCCAAATAGATTGGTTTGGCTTTTTTTTTTTTTTTCCATTTTCTGGCAAACACAGGAAAAGAAACAATCGATCAAAGCATTTTCTAGTTAAAACTAAATAATTATTCTCCTGAAGATACTGTGGTTTAGATTTTTTCCTCAGCAGAGGTTACTTTTACAAAGTCTTGCTTGTTCAGAAAAAGGTATTCATCTGAACCTATTTGTTAACCCAGGATTTTTCATTATTGTTTAGAAAGAAAGTTCTTGTTCAAGATTGTTTCTTTTAAATCTGAGTTTGGCAAGGTTTTTTACATGGAAGCATAAACACTTCAGACGTTTGATGGTAATATCAAGAGGTTAACAGGTGGTTTAGAAGTATTTTGAGAAGGTTGATTTTGTGTCACCAGCTATATTTAATCCCTCTAAGATAAAGTACCATGAACCAAGGTTCCTCTCAGATGCTCTGTCAGTCTGCAACTGAGTCATATAGTCCCATCTCTGAAAATAAACGTTTAACCTACCTGTGCAGTTGAAGGTAAGCTGCTCACACTCACATTTGTTAAGTATCCCTCTTTTGGTTTTCACCCAAAATAGAACTTATTATGTATTAGTTTTTCAGAATTATTCAGGGTTAAAAAACAAAAACAAAAACAAAAACAAAAAAAGAAAAACAGCTTCTAAGTGTTTTAATTGATTGGTAACTGAAGATGATTTCTTAGGAATACCATAGTAATGGTGGTGAAATATTAGCAGTCTCACAGGCAGAAAGGGAGGAGTTTTTGTATTTATATTTCCACAGGCATGGTTATAGGATTTAATACTGTGCCTAATCAAACACGCAAGGATTTGATTACAACAGAGTGACTGAACAGTGGAGCCATCAAATAACTTCCATAAAGCTTCAAAGGCGGACTGAAGATAGACACTGCTCATGCTTCCTAATCCCACCAGAGGTTTTAAAACCAGAAGGTTTGTATTGTTCCAAGAGTTGCAGATTACTGAAGCAAAAGAATAACCTTCTGCAAACCCATGAGACCAACAGTGAGTTCCACAGCTGCTGTAGGGGCTTTCACTGTCCTGCACAGCCCCAAAGTAGTTTTCCAAAAGTAATCCAGCCTGCAGCCATAGACCATCATGGCGAGGAGCTGGAGCTCCCACTGCCCTTACAGGAACTAAACCTACCACTGCTTTTTACAGGACAGCTGCAAGTTACTACAGAATTGTTACTACTACAGCTGCCAGCAGGGTACAACACTATTTTCCTTCTGTGAGGATGGTACCTGTGCAAACTGGCAGCCAAATAGCCAGCAGGAAAGATTCACATACCTACAGAGTTCCAATTATTTCATATGTCAAAACATGTGCAAATTATGTCCTTATTTTCTTTACTAAGCACCAAAGAACAAAATGGTGACGGTCCCATTCTAAGTACAACGCACCGGGTGCAGACTAAGGGCATTCTAATTTCTAGTTTTTGAGCACTGTCCAATTAAATTGTTCTGATACTAAGCTGTGAGCAACATGTCTTCATCTGGGCTGGCTCCAGATGATTTCTGTTGCTTGGTTTAGTCCTATTTTCAAAAGGAAAAAAAGAAAAAGAAAAGGAAAATTAAAACCAGAATGCATCCTTGACTAATTATTGTCCGATTTCCATGTTGGGTACTTTGAGATATGCTGAATTTCTATTTAACTACCTGTGCAGTAGAGCATGGGTTTGGGTAGCTATTTAGCTATTGGAAAGCTGATCACAAGTAAAGCAGTATTAGAGCCAGCACCATTTCAGCTTCAGGAAGAACTTTGTGTCTGACTCTGTGAGAAAATCCTGCTGGTGGTGTATTTTATTTCTATAGCACTATATGGCAGCTTTGGTAACCCTGGTGGCTCTTCAGATACATGGCACTTTCAGCATTGACACATGCTAACATAACTGTAGCATCTGACAAGCACAGAAAAAATTCAGTCCCATCTGAGAAATCCTGGGCACGGACCAGGAGTAAAGGGCAACAGATCCTCCTTTACAAGGGCTCTCTGCTGCAGAGTCCCATAGGCACCAGACTTGCCTGCCTTTTATCCAGTAAGTGAAACTGTGGCTGATGGGGGTTGGGCTACAGTATCATCAGAGTGCTAATATTCAACTCTGCAGCTCTGCTTTAGCAGGTCCAGACCCACCAATGCCCTTCTCCTCCAAGTGTCCACCAAGAACTGGTAGAATAAGGCCAACCAGTTGTCATAGAGGACAGTGATAATATGGCAATAATGCTGACTATCACGCAGGACCCAGAACATGTAACCTTTCCTTTAGGCGCAGATGACTCTCTTTCTCCTATCAAAATTATTCACAATTAAAAAAAAATAATATTAAAAGTATTGTCTGTAGTAACGAGAGGTGTTAACAGCTCTAAGTTTTGGACATAGATGAAATTATAGCTTTTGTCTTTCAAGATGATTTCATCAGCTTTGAATTGCCTCTGACCATTAACTAGAAATTCACTTAACCTGAGATTAATCTTGCAAGACAGGAAATGAAAGGTAATGCAGCACAGGCCTTCTGAGACATGTATTAATCCCAGCCTTTGACACAAACATGGTTTTAAATAGCGAAATAACAAATGAGCGATCCTTATCTCCCTGTGAAGTCCCACATCTGTACTGTTTGCCTCAAGAAATCTAGGCAGGAGAAACACTTATCCATGCCCATCACTGACTTTTTCTACTTCACCTTGGAATAAAACTAGAGTGCCTCATTTCCACTCCAATTTAAAACATGGTCACTTCAGCATGTGAGTGCATTAGGAAAACAGCAATTCTGATCAGGAAAATGCAGAAGAACACAAATTATGCAATGTCTGCAGATCTTTTACAGGAGGGAAGGCAAAATAATGATTACTGCTTGTAAACCCATAAAGGGTCCATGTTCAAGCAACGCTGGACATTCTTTCTCCCTCTCTAACCACACAAAAGGAATAAATTAACCACTGCTGCCTGAGGAAGCCTGAGCCCTTTCAACTGTTAGTACAAGTTTGGAGAAACAAGATAGAGCAAAGAATTGTCAGGCACCTGGGTAACCAGAGTACAGAGTCATCTGTGGTGTCTTTAGGCCTCATGCAGATGTTTGATTTGAGACTGATGTTACTTACTGATCACAAGGTGGCCAGGTTAGACTCCTCTTTCACTTCATCATGTATTTACATTTATATCCTTTTATCATGATATGAAATACTTCTGTGACTGTTGCAGTATACCTGCAGTGCTTTAATAGTTTTGGACTGTTTAAAAGAGTTATAAATGAAGATACTTAGCACCTTGCCAAGACAGAGTTGCAGAATCTTGTACTGACTCTGAGCAGTAAGAAAAGTAAGCTGGATTTCTGCTTTGATTTGTGTCACTCAAGCAGAGACTCACAGAAATGGCACACCCACACTATTTCAGCAGGATCTGTGGGACATCTTACCTTTCCTTGCATGTTACAGAAGTTTACCTTTGGCAAGCAAGGAACAAGAACTAGCAATGCACTGCAGTCACCTGTTTTGGGAGGAATGTATCCCTGTTGGAGCCTGAGTGACCCTCTCCTAGCCTGAGGAGCCAGATCCTCAGCAGAAACCCAGCCCGTGCGCACTGCCCTGCAGGACCCTCTCCCTCTCCCGCTCTCCAGCCCGCCTCCAGATCCACCCGGGTCACTTCAGCCGGTCACTTGCCTCCCGCATCCCGCTACCTCCCCCCATCCCTGCCGCCGCAGATCAGCGTGGAAAAGCGGGGAGCTGCTCCCGAGGTCTCAGAAGCGGGGACCCACTACGGGGGGGGGTCGGTCCTACACCGTTGCACATGCAACGTCTGTCAGTGTTCTGCTCGGAAGCCCCTTCACTCAAACAACCCCTCGCGCTCCGGAGCCAGGAGGGAAGCGGCGCGTCCCCGGGCTCCCGGGAGGGGCTGAGCCCTGCCGGGCTGTGCAGCCGACCTGTTGCTTTGCTTTGTACAAGCACAGCCGCCCGTTCAGAGGTCTATTGCGGCACTCCGAGACGTGTGAAAGGCTCACTTCTTCACTCAGCCCCTTTCAAAGGTGCCCGGTGAGACAAGGGTACCCAGCCACCATCTAGAGCTGCTGGTTGCGAGGATTCCTGGTGAAGGGCGGCCAGAGGCGGGAAGGGAAGAACCTCCTGCCCGGGGGTAACCCCCTCCTGAGTGTAACCATTTAGGCACCATCACATCGCGCTCCTTCCCATACAGCCAAACCCTAGCGAGGGCTCCAGGTGTTGTAAAACCTAGGCAAGAGCCGGGGTGCCCCGGAGGACCAAACCACCCATTCGTGAGGGGTCCCGCAGACGTGGCCGCCAAGCCCCCAGGAATGGGGCTATCCCCCAGCGTTGGCCGGGAGCCCTGCGCTCTCCCCGCCCCGAAAGCACCCGCAGCCCGCGGTGGGGCTGCCGTAGGCGAGCGGGTACTGCTGCTCTCCCGGGGGGCAACACCCGCTATTCCTGCCCCGTGCGGTTACCCCGGGAGCGCCGCACACCCAGCCGACCCCTCCCGCCGCTCCTCAGGCTCCCACCGACGAGCGCGCTCGGCTTGGCAGAGTCTGCTGAGTAGTTAATAACATAACAACCCGGCTTTGATCAATCCGAACTAATTACCCCTCTTAATTAAAGTCTTTAGCGGTTGTTGGAGTGTTTTGGCAGGGACGCGGCGGAGGTTTGCAGCTCGGCATCCCCCGCGCCGCTCTCCCAGGCCCAGCCGCAGCCCCCCACGGGCGAGTTATTTATTTCCACGAGGTCAACGAAATACATTTTTTTTCTCTCTTTCTTTTTTTTTTTTTTTCTTCACGTGCAAGAAGAATCAAACCGAAATTCAAATTCGTACATAGCGGACCAGTTCTGTCCATATAGATACGATATTCAGGAGGGAAGAGGGGAGAGGTGGAAACCAAGAAAGGGGAGGAATAACCAGCAGGCAGCGGAGGCAGGGCGGGATCAACACAATGGAGATATATATACATCGAAATAATTAAAGTGGTGCAGCGTTCCCGGTTCGGGTAATACAGACCCCAAATAAATACAGCAGAAATTGGCTTGGCGCGTTTTCTTTTCCTTTTTGCTTTTTTAAATCATCTCTCCCCCTGAGATGCAACGACAAAAAAAAAAAAAAATAGAGTCTTAAAAAACATAAAATTAGAAAAATAAAGAGGGGAAACAACCGGTCCCATGGACGTGAGTGGCGATATAGAGCATAACACACAAAACCGCTTAACAGGTGCATGCAAGGGGCGGCTGGAGCTCCCACCCTCAAGGCTGGAGCGGTGGCGGGCCCGGCAGCAGCGGCCCGGAGGGGGCCGGCTGCTGGTCAGGCCCCCCCAGCTCTGCGGGGGCCCGGGGCAGTCCCAGGGCGCTGTCGTGCAGCTTGCGGACGTGCTTCTTGAGGTCAAAGTTCCTGCAGAAGCCTTTGCCGCAGGTGGGGCAGGTGAAGGGCTTCTTGTCGTTGTGGGTGTGCATGTGGAACGTCAGGTTGTACACCTGGTGGAAAGCCTTGTTGCAGATATTGCACTTGAATTGCTTCTCGCCGCTGTGAGTCAGCTTGTGGTTTTTGTAATTGCCTGGGAACGAGACAAAAAGGGCCAAGGGACCCGGGGATGAGAACTGGGTGCTGCAAAGACCAAGGGAAAACCCCCCAGCCATCCCGAAACCCCAGAGCTATGCTTTAACCGAAACGACCGCAGACCTCTTCGCAAACACCCGCCTTCTCCCCATTCACCGGCGGTCGGTCCCTTGACGGACAGAATAGTAGAACTGTTTGGGTTGGAATGGGCCTTAAAGATCATCCAGTTCCACCCCCCTGCCACGGGCAGGGACACTTTCCACTACGACTAGGTTGTTGCAAGCCCCGTCCAACCTGGCCTTGACCCCTGTCAGGGATGGGGCAGCCGCAGCTTCTCTGGGGGAATAATCGAATAAACCGAAATCCCATCAATTGCAGAAATAAACCCCCTTGATTCAGCCTTCCCAGCAGCACAGGGAGAAAAGCGAACCAAATCCCGCACTGGGAGAGGGAAAAAAGCGGCTAACTCGTTTGCCGAACCGCGGGTGCCGTGTGCCGACAACGGGAGCTGACACGGGAAGGCGGAACCAGAGCCCGGCCCCAGGCTGGGTCGTGCAGAGGAAAACGGGCAGGGTACAGGGGTACTTAAAATTAACCTCAATCTCTAGCAGCAGCCATTAAACCCAAAATAAACTCTCCCCCGTCCGAATCGTCCAGACGCTCGGCCTCGCCTGGGGGGGCAGGCAAGAGAGAGTGCTCTGGGGCCAGGTACCTTTCTGGTGAAATCCTTTGCCACAAAATTCACAAACAAAAGGTTTGTAGCCAGCGTGTATTCGCGTGTGCGTGTTCAGGGTCGAGCTCCGGTTAAAGGCTTTGCCGCACTGGTTGCACTTGTGTGGCTTTTCCTGGAGGGAAACAAACGCCAAAGTCACGGCTCGGTGGTTGGTGTGCGGGAGTACGGGGTTTGCGGGTTTGCAGGCGTTCTGTGTGCTAGCCGGTGGCTCCCGCTCCCGGTGAGCGGCACCCCGCGGCACCCACATCTCCTGGAGCAAACTAAATTCCCGCGGCCCCAGCTCAACCGCCCCCTGTAACACGCCACTGCCTGGCGGGGCTCGGGCCCCCCGAAAAGGCTGAGAGGAAAGGTCTCGGGGAGGGAGGGAGGGACGGAGGGGAAGCTCACCTGGGTGTGGATGATCTTGTGCCGGCAGAGCGTGCTTGCCTGTCTGAAGCCCTTCCCGCAAACTTTGCAAACAAAGGGTCTGGCTCCCGTGTGCACCGGCATATGGCGAGTTAAGTTATAATGTGCATTAAATACCTTGAGAGTGAAATCAGACACACACAAAAATAACAATTGCGATTAGAAGGCGAGAGCACCGAAGGGAAAGCCGTCGCTTAAAAATCAAGCAACCGAGGGACCGAGGACCCGGCGGTCAGACGGCCGAGTCAGGAGGCTGGGGAGAGGGGAAGGAAGGGAGGCGAGCTGCCGCTCTACTTGCCTTTCCACAAACTTCACACGTGAAAACTTTGGGCTTGCTGCTCGGGGAGCCGCGGCTGAACTCCGATGTCTTGTAGGCGATTTTTTCCGAGAGGATCTGGGCGCTCTCTTTCATGTAGTGCTGCAGCTGGGTCTGAGACAAGTCCTTGAAGGCCACCCCCGCCGGGTACTTGTCCACTGCCGGCAGCACCAGCTTGTTCCTCTCCGCCAGGTAAGCCTTGGGCTGCGGGTGCAAGGGGGAGCTGAGAAAATAAGAAGCCACTGGGTGGATGTTGACACTGGAGGACGGGTGACAAGGGCTGTCGCCTCGGTTGAAATAGCACAGGGCTCCCATGGCGTGGAAGGAGGAGTGATTGACCACTCGGGGTCTTACCAGTTTGTACTGCTGCAAGGGCAGGGCATCGCGGGGGAAATCTCCTTTCAAGCTCAGGGCACAGTTCAAGAGATCGCCGCAGCTAAAGGAGGGCGAGGAAGAGGAGTCTAAATGAGCCTTCCTGGGTTCCACTCCGGCCACCGCCGCTTTGGGCAGGGGGTCGTACGCCACCGGGACAAAGGGGATCATGCAGGGGATGGAGGAGTTGAGGTGCAGCGGGTGCTTGGGGTCGCCTTTGGCCACGGAGCCGTGGAGGAGCTGCGGGACGGGGATGGAGCGGGGCTCTGGCGTCCGCGCCATGATGCGCTCAATGGAGAAGGCGAGGGGCTTGGGCGTGCTGATCATGTTGCTCCTGGCAGACAGGCTTTCTCTGGCTGGAGGAGTCGCTAGGATTTTGGTCGCCGTATGGTGGCCACTATTGTCCATGGCTGGATTGCATTTGTTCGCCCGGTTTGAGCCGCTTTGGTAGACGCCTCTTTTTTTTTTTTTCTCTTTTTTTTTTTTTTCCTATCCTCTCCCCTCTCTCACTCTGTTTCACTCTCTCTGCCCCTTCTCTTGTCACTGATCTGCAAGGAGGGAGAGCAGCATCGCCGCCGCCAGCAGCACCATCACCTCCTCCGCCGGCGGAACCAGCCCTCTGAGCCCGGCGGCCTCAAGCCAGCCCATCGCCGGTTACTTTGGCGCGCCAGTGACTCGGGACAATCGCTACTTATTTCTATCAATAGAAAGTGTTGTGTCAATAACGCAGCCAAGATCTCGCCAATCGTTAACTTCCAAGAGGAGAAGGTAAACTAGATAATTGCTCAATTCGCTTCCAACAGTCAACAGGAAAAGTTTCCCCCCCCACCCCCCCGAAAGTGGCTACTTTTCATTGGCGCCCGCTCCTCCCCCGCCCAGGGAAGGAGGTGTCTCCCTCCTTCTCGCCTCTCTCCCCTCGGCCTCCCTCCCCTTCTTTTTTATTATTATTATTTGCAATCTGCTTAACCAGGCTTTAGAGGCCAAGCAAATCCGAGATCAATTTTCTTGTTTGGCTTTAAGTGACATCATCTAAAATCATTGTCCAAGTGCTAAATAGGGATGTGAAACCCAATTCAAGGGCAAGCGCCAGAGTATTTGTCAAACGAGGTGCTGCAGAAGAAGCGGCTGGAGGGGAAGCTGTCTGTTTCCTTGCCACTTCCCAGCCACAGCTCCCTTTGTGCGTGGGTCTGTCTGTGTGTGTCTGAGGGACGGAGGGAGGGAGATGGCTGCTCTGCTCCTGGGACTGCTGCTGGTCTGCTCACTGCTTTACAGAACAAGGTTAGGCGGCGGTGAGCTTTTGGAAAGCGCAGTAAACAAATGAGCGGAGAACTTGTGACAAGCAGACTGAGGGAGCAGCGCACGGGAATGCAGGAACCATCAGGGCCAAAGTCCAACTAGTGCTTGTGAGCAAAAGGATGAATCAAACCTGGGGCTGGGGAAGAAACAGAGAAGGTAGGAAGAGGGAGTGCCTTTTTAAATCTGAAGCACAACTTATGCGTATATACATATATACACACACACACCTGCACATACATGTATATCACCCACATATACACTATAGCTTCTCTGTCCTTAAATGATACGTGTAGAAAACAAACGCCGACAACTACGGGTCTGTATTTATGATACCTTGTGATAAACGCAGAAGTATACAGCACACACACTGCTGACAGGTATATGTGCACCTGAACAGATGCGCTCACAATGTATTTCAGCGAAGATGGGCGGCCCTGTTAGGGTGGTAGCTCCAGCTCCCAGGGTGTTGGGACTTTCAGCGGGGAGCAGAGGGTGAGCGGGGAGGCGGGGAGAGGAGAGGGATAGAGGTGGGTGAGAGGCTTTCTGTGTCCTCCTCTGTCGCACCACCCGACAGCTCGGGTCAGAACAAACTCCTGTTTCTCCCTCCGGCCTGGGGTTCACTTAACTGGTGATTGAGAGACAGCTACCGAACGCTCCGGGAGAAGCCAAGGGTCCTGTGTGTGCACTGGGGGCGGGCAGCCTGCGGAACACAGAAGGGCAGAGCCCGGCCGGTTCTCCCGGCGGAGGGGCACACGGGGCGGCCTACACTCCCGCGACCCCACTGCCCTTCTCAGGGCCGGGGGAGGGAGGGAGGAGGTCTCGGGTTTGCTAATGGAGAGAAGCCTCTAGCGAGGCTGGGAGGCCCGGCCCCCGCCGCACGGGTACCAGCTAGGGAGCCTGCAAAAGACTGTGTCTCCCTCCACCCCCCCGGCCCAGGACAACCCACTTGCAGGGAACCGAGAACAGGGAGGATGGGCTGGGGCCCCGGGGAGGGATGAGGGGAAGCATCCTTGCCCTCGGCGCTGTGGCCGGGCCGAATCCGCCCTGGGTCTCCGTGGCCCCTTTTGAGGAGGACAAGGAAGCGGCTGTTCCACGACGGTACCTCTGCAGCCCGCAGCTGCCGTTCGAGCATCGGGGAGCTGCAGGCGACTGAGGAAGAGACACCCCGCGGTCCCCAGGACAGGCGTCCGACGACGGGCTGCGGCCCCGGCATCCCTCACTGCGGAGGATGCGCCCTCACGCCAGGCGACCTCCGTGTCTTCCCCGTCCTGTCGGTGCCCTGGGGGGACACGGGAGCTGGGACGGACACAGCCGTACGGATAAGCGCCGGACGGCGGAACCGAGCAGCGCCGGGCGGGGACCCCGGCCGCGATGCTCTGCTCCAGCCCTGCTCCCTGCGTTCCCTCGGCTGGGGTGGGGGATCCTGGCCCGGGCGCAGCTGCCCCCGGCAGATGGGTCGCGGCGTTGAGACCGTAATTGCTGCTCCGGATCGGGTGGCCGCTGCCGCCCGTCTCTTCTTACCTGCTGCTTCCCACACCGGCACCGCCAGCTTCGCCTCGGCCGGTGTCACCGGCCCGGGACAAGCGGGACGCAGGGACTCGGGGGAGGCCGGAGCCGTGTTCACCCAGCGCCGTGTGGGGCGGTTACCCGCTCCTGAGGGGTGTTGGTGTCTCTCGCTTATTTTGTGCCTGCCAGAGGAGAGTTTCCTCCTTCAGAGCGATTTACATTTAATTCAATCTAGGGAAATTTCCTCTTGATTGGTGCTGAAGAAGGGAATTATTGTTGAGTGGGTTTTAGAGGCTTCAAATCCCATATACTTAATATGTTAACAGCTTGCTCTTAACTGGTCTTTTTGGGATTGACTTTTTGACATGTGTTTGAAAGTAAAATATGTAGTGTCATTTAAGCAGGGTAAATATCCCAAAGCAGCAATTACAGCCCTGCCATTACAATTATACCGGCATCCTCAATACTGAGAGACACTCTTGGAGAAGCGGGAGCTTTATTATTCGTTAGTTTTTACAGATATGCCTCCCTTGCTTTCCGTACAGCATACAGAAACTTGTCCTCGTCCCTAATTATTAAATAACGATATAAATCCTTTTATTTTTAATTTTTATTTTTGTGGGAAGTCATTCTGTTTCGTCTCAGAAATGGAGCCTTGCCAGTACTGGAGATGTTCACAATATAGATAGGCTTACTGAAACCAATGTCGATAGATTCTCTTCAGTCCTGGCCCGAACTTTGTCTTCCACTCGGACCGCGCTTCTTTAGCGACGTTACAGATGTGCCGAGCTGCAAACACCTTGCAGTCGTGCTGGTGCAGGGAGGTTTGTCCCCGAGGCAGAGATTTACAGGCTCTGAGGGTGGCGAAAAGCAACCTGCTGTCTGGTTTCTTTCTGCAGCCTGGGCCGGGCTCCCCGGAGCCAGACCGAGCCCCGGCAGGGGAAGGAACGGGCCCGCGGCCACCCGCAGTTACAACCCATTGGAGGAATTAAGGGCAAAAGTTTTACCTAGAGTTGATTTCGTGTTCTGCCCGGGAAAGGTGCTGTTCTCTTTTTCCCCGTAATCGGCTTTGTGTTTCATTCGCTCCTAAGCTATGTTCTTGATATTGCTCACTTGCATTATTATCATAACGTATCTCTACATGCACTCAAAATCCGAGTCACCGGCGAATTCATCTCGTCGTCAGGATTACTCCAATCCGATCCCAGAGGCGATTAGAGGGAGGTAAAATACCGCCTAAAGCCTAATCTTTAATTTCTTCCTCCTTAATAAAACTAGTAATTCCATTGCGTTTTTAAGTAAAGAATGAATTGAAAAGGATAATAACTCCTCTAACCTTCTGCTGCGCGTATTACTCTTTCCCTTGGAAACGTTTCACCGAGCGGCTGCTCCCCGCGGGAGCTCGCTCCGAGCTGGCTCCGCGGCTAGGGAGGGGACACCCCGGCCGGGCGGGCTCCGGGCCCTCTGTCCAGGCGGGCTTCGTATGGAGCCACCGGGGAGGCTACGGAAACACTTCCTCCCGCCACACCGGAGGACTCGACGGCGCCCGGTCAGACCCTCATTACTGTCAATATTATTGCATTAATCGAGATTCGCTGCAAAAGCTGGGCTTAGCTCTCACCAAGCACCAGTCCTTGCCGAGCCCTCCCGAGTCACCGGCTTCGTGAAGAGGCGATCTACCCTGACATGGGACAAGAGCTCCTCCGCCCCTCCGCCGCCCTGCCCGAGGAGCAGCCCGGCCCCGCCGCAGCCGCGCTCTCTACCCCGGCTTCATGAAGCTCGGAATATGCCCCTGGGCTCATTATTCTTTCCCACTCAGGGTTTGCAGTTTACTGTGTTTTGAAGGGAAGCCAAAATATAAACGGGGGAAAGAATTAAAGCGGCGATAAACAGACCCGGGATTACGGGGATAGTGGGCCAGCTCCGCTCCCCCTTTATCGGCCTGCGATGGTATGGGAACAACTGCCGCCGTCCTTTTCGGTGGGAACCTGCTGCTGTCCGCTCGGGCGCGGCCGGCCGCGGGGAGGAGGCAGCAGAGCCTGACGCACTGGGCAGCAGCCCCGGGCTCTACGGCTCCAGCAACGCGAGCAGAAGGGCTCGGGCTTTGCCGGGTTAAATTGCAGCACTGATATTTTATCCATGGAAAAAAAAAAATGTGTATATATATGCATATACCTTTTGAGATTACGCATAGTCCCCCACACACTGAGTGCGTGCCGGCATCCCTCTACATCAGTTCCACCGCAAGGAAAAGAAGAAAGAACTGCTATTTTTAACTGACTCCATCACAAAAAGGAAATCCAGTTGACAGTGACCCGCCAAACACAAGTGTTCCCGGAGGTAAAACAAAGTTTGACGCTACAGTGCGTCTCGTACAGACCTCTCTAAACCGAAATCCAAACGGGTGCAAATTAAGCCTTTTCATGTATAAATCCTTTAATCACGTGTAATCGAAATTACAAGTGACCCTCTGAAGCAGTGCTCCCGGCCCTCCCGTAATTCTTGCGGGCGGGCGGTGCAAGTGTGCCAGCGAGGGCCGGGAGCTTCAACAATCACGTCTAATCTAATCAGTCCGCCCGCGAGGGGACCCGTCGGTGTCATCAGCTCCAAAGGGCCCTTGGTGGAAGTGGCTGGGAGAGGCCAGCGGCAGCTGAAGCCGTGAATGACACTTTCCCATTTGTTCCTTTCCCAGTTCAACAAATGTTTATCCCCGTTTGCTGTTCAATGAACGCCTTCCGCTCTTTGGCTGGGGGAAGCTACTTTTTTTTTTTTTTTTTTTTTTAAAAAAAAGCTTCCTGAATAGGATCAGGAGCAATTAACTTATTTTTGTTTTCTCTTTTCTCCCAGTGTACTGGGAGCTAACCTGGAGCAATGCAAAGAGCTGCTCGGCTGCCTGAATGCCTCTGCACCGCTGGCTCGCAGTGAGGGCGGGGAGGGGTGTCCACCGTCCAGGGGCTGCAGCACGGAGCTGGCAAACCCGGCCTGCCGGGGCCGGGGCCCTTTTCGGTTTTGCTAAGTGGGGAACGTGAAAATAAGGACGAAAGCAGGAGCCATGACCTGGCGTGGCCGCTGCTGGACTGTGCCAGGAGGGGCCTCCCTGCCAGCATCCCCCGCTGCTACCCG